ACTACATGCTGTAAACACACACTGCTCGCTAATTCACGAACGTTTCTGTGTCTCTGAGTCTCATGCATGTCACCTTCATTCCCCCTTGTTAAAGTCTGACTTCATCTGTATGTTATTGTTCACCCAGCTCTTCCAGTGGCTCCCAACCTTTATCCATCCTTTCCTAATGGGGCCCCTTGTCTATTATTTAGTGAACCCCTGACAAAGGGACATATTTTCTGGATATTTCATATTATATTCCAGGATTCTGCTAATGGGCCCTCCTACCTGACCCGTAAGCCTTGTAAACTGTTGGCCACACCTGACAGTCAGTGCTCCCACTACCATCGTCCCTCCTTTAAAACAGTGTGGTTCCTTCTCTCGTCTAGCAATAAGTGGATATACAGAACAGAATGAGGTATAGACATTATGTACTGAATAGAATATTTTCTATAGAATCTTAAGATGAGTGAATATTAGAAACATAAATTAGAAATAACACCGAGCTTTGGCTCTGCTGTCTGGTAATTAGTCCAGTCCTCTTATATAATAATATTATAGAATGAGCTTTGGCTATACAGTGTAAACAGACGTCTGGCTGCAGCTTTCAGTCTCACAATATCAGGCCTCTCAAATGGGCTCCCCAGATTTCCTTATATACATTTTCAAATCTAAAATACTATTTATACTATGGTGGTATATTATGGTACTTGTTGGTTATCATTTACTGAGAGATGTGCAAACATATCCCGCAGTATACCCTCCTAATCAACATTTAAATTCAGTATTTAATCAATAGTCAATGTCAATGCTTTCCATCTTATAGTACAGAGTTGTAACTAAACATGGCACTGGGAGCTGTAGTGAGACATAAGGACAGAGACATGCACTAGAAGCTGCACATCAGCTTAACCTTACTGTTATGTGCTGACATTAAACACAAGTTTACCTGATTCCTGTTCCCACAATGGTGTTTTGTCTATTTTCTTGAGAGGTAGTTCTGTTCATCCTCTCCCTATGCAGTGTGGGTAGTGAACGTACAGGGCTGACCGGCTCTGTATTCAAAACTGTACTGTGAACTCAGACTGCAAGACGTTTGTGTAAACCGAGTGATTTGGATGAATTTTGAGCAGATTATTTCCTGTTGAGGGAAGATTGTATACAATCTTCTGTCTGTATTATGTATTTATTTAATATTGATTTAAATATTTTTTACAAATGATACATACATACTTCTGTTGCTTCTGTTACAATAGACCAGACTTTGACACAATAACAACAGCCTTTGACTGTACTAGATTATTTTGACAAATTAGCTAGATGAGTTAGTAATGGAAGATAATAGCTAATCAAATGTAGATGTTGTCAGATTTGGTAGCTGAAAATGTTTATTGCAATAAAAAGTATTAAAAAACAACTAATTGCTTTTCAGTATCAACTACTGTACTTTGACATGGCTAACTTTTGTTGTTACACTGCATTGCCTCCACACAGCTTACATACATATGACATCAGTTCTAAAGATCACTCTTTACTCTCCCTCTCTTAGAGAAAAAAGAAGTGGTGCCAAAGCCAGAAATTCTGGATGAGGTCGTCTACCAGACACCCCACACCAAAACTGTCATCATCTACAAGAAAGACTTTGTCCCATACAGCACAAGGATCTACAATTTCATTAAATCCTTCAGCAGTGAGCCTGGGAGTGGAGACAAATAGTTGCATCAGCAGTGCAAAGGATGATGGGACACTGACATTAACAAGAGCATTTCTTATAATGCCCTATGAATTTTCGCTTTTGTGTGAAGACATTATGTTTATTTGTAAAATAATCTCCAGCGCAGTATCCACCTGTCCAGGTGTGAGGGAGCCGCCATAATGGACTGTCGACACGTTATTTATAATTAAATGTACTACGAGGAGTTTTTAACTGCTTATGAAACAGTCTCAATTCAATACTGATGCTTCTATATGACCGATGTGAACAAACATAACCCGCAGCAAGAAGATTAACTGTGTCTGTATTGTAAGTCTTAATGGTCGATTTGGATTCCCCTTGAAATCAATGAAATGAGATAGTGGAAGCACCACCGCTTTTGTCCACAGGGGTCGCCAGAATCAATACAGAAGTTCCTTGAGCTTCACCCGCCTTTGTCCACAATAAGCAGTTTCCACAAGCACTAATGATGTTCAAATAAACTCATGTTGTAATATACTGTGTACTCAGGTTTCCTCTAGTTCTTTGAGCAGAGCAGGTATGGTACCATACTACCATGACCAGTAGGTTCCCTTAATTGCTTCATTCAGTGAAAGGAACTATAATGAAGGTGTAAGGAGTGTTTGTGGTTTCATGCTATTGTTGTGTCATGTGACAGTCCGTTAACATGCTGTTTGACAAAACTGTATGTATTAACATGTAGCAGTTTTATGTAGTAGCCGCCCAGGTGGAGCTATTTGATACACAGTTGGGTGTTTACACTGTTTAATAATGTATCACATGTTATATGTTCATTATATTCTGCAATGACAGCCACATTGGCTTCAGTGACTTGAACAGAGAGCATTTTGTCCCGGCCCACCTCCGAAAGAAGCAGAGGATGTGTCCTGCGTGTTTCGGCCACTAGATGGAGACAACGCCCCGCCCACACAGTGAGAGCTCAGCGGAAGTTGTGTGAGCGTGCTCCCCAACACAACCAAAACAATGAAAGCTATCATTCAGCGGGTCACCAAGGCGACTGTAACAGGTAAGCGGCTGCTTTGGACTGAGCGGAACTGCCATGCTGTGACGCCTTTGATAGTGTCGCCAAACCGTCCGCTTACAGGCTAATAACCTCCATTTATTAACGCTGACCACGCATTTTAGCTAACCAAGCTAGGTTAGCATTAGCACTCCCAGCGAAACGAATGGAGCTCCAGAGACAGCCAGGCGTGTCTCTGTCCGGAGACAGGGCGCTGCTGGCTGGGTGTTGTCCTCTGGAAGTCCGTGGTACTGACAGCTGAAGGACAGTCCCGACTGCTGGCTGCTGTGCTCCACACACACTGATGTCATTCAGTCTGTCACCTGTCAATGAGCAGCTCACTCACTCAAGCCTCTCCTGTTTTCCTGCAGTGGGAGAAGAACAGGTCAGTTCGATAGGTCGAGGGCTGTGTGTACTGCTGGGTATATCAGTGGAGGACACCCAGAGGGATGCCGACTACATGTGAGTATGTGCGGAACTTGTTATATGGACCCCAGTATGCAGAACTATGTAACTATGCACATGCAAAAACTGCATTGGATTAGCATAAAGTGGAGACTCATGGGTACCCAGAGAGACCCTTTTCATTCAGGTATCTTGAGGGCAGGGGTCAAGGGATCACTTTACAAAATGAAGCATAGTACGTTTGTATGATTGTTAAAAATGATTTAAAAGAAAAAAACACCAAACTGACAGAGAACTGTACAAAAGTAATAGTATAAAGTATAAAAACAGGAATTCATCCACATCACTCGTTTTACACAAACTTCTTACAGTTACTAAGTACTACTTCACTATTTTGGGTCATTGCATAGTTTTGAATATAATATGAAATATCCATAAAATATGTCTCCTGAGCAGGGCTTGTCAGTTTATTTAATAAGAGGAAAGTGGAAACCACAGATACAGAGAACTCAACTCTTGTTGTAATAGATTACATATCTCAGTCAAGTTCCAAGTTGATTTTCATGTTGTGGCATGAACAGCATCCAGTGTCTGCCTGGAGGGTAAGTACAGACTTCAATATTAATGAGACAAAACCCATTCCAGTGTGTCCTTTCAGATAAAGCCAATACGTTCTCTGCCATTATGTGATCAGAATGATTGTCCCAATTGCAGATGAGTTGATCCCTCATGTTTTTTTTTTCCTAGCGTACGGAAGATCCTGAACCTGCGGCTGTTTGAAGACGCGAACGGGCGAGCGTGGAGCAAGAGCGTCATGGACCAGGACTTTGAGGTTCTGTGCGTGAGCCAGTTCACACTGCAGTGTATACTAAAGGGCAACAAGCCAGACTTCCACTCAGCCATGCCTGCAGAGTTGGCCCAGCCCTTCTACAACAGCATCCTGGAGAACATGAGGAGTGCCTACAAGCCAGAGCTCATTAAGGGTGGGTGAACAGATGACTTAGCCATCTTAAATGTCCCACTTTATTGTCCTACAGCAGTGTTCCTGCTGCTCTTAGAGGAAAGCTAGCAAAGCACTAAATTCAGGCTTTTCAAATTCAGGCAGATTTAGTAAAATCAGTTGAATAATTGTCCCATTTGTGCAGTTACTGCTAAACATTTTTAATGTCAGCCGTAGGTTACGTGTTGAGTAGCTGATAGCCAGCGTTTATTTCTGAGGAATGTGATGGACTTTGTGAAATAAAAGTTGAAAAATTGCATGAATTTAAAGGCTTATTGTGAAAACTGTGGAGGTCAAAACGAGAGGGGTTGTTTACAGCTACTTGCTTCCGCAGCTTATTAAAACAAAAGTGTGGAGGGTCACCATTATCACCACTCACTTCTAAATTTGGATCGGCGCCCAGTCCCCCGGCTGTTTACCCGCCTCTATTCCCATCTTAGCGTAAGGTTATGGCTTTTTTCGGCTGTGGGAGGTGCGGATTATCGGCACTGTGGCGCGGTGACGGTGGCAGTGAATTGGGTCAGCCCACCGGGGAGCAGGTGCGGAGAACACCTTGTCCCAGCAAGGGAGGCATAAGGCTTCCTAATTAGCCCCCTCCCCTCCAGAGAGGAAATATGATGATGCAGCGCCTTTCCGCCGCGGCCCACAGCTTCATTGTGCAGATGGTGTCATTAATCTCGTGGACCCAGTGGAAGAAAGGAGAACATTTAAGTTGAAACTTCCTGTCCTCCTACAGCCCCTTCGTCTTTTGTCCCCAATGTCTCAAGGCTCCACATTATCCCACATCCTATGATGCAGCACACACTGTCAGTGCTAAACAAATTCCACTTGTCTTTACCATTAATATTAGGACGTGTCACTTAGTAAACTGTAGTCTGACTGTGGCAGTGATGCTAATAGATGAAACTTGGGGTTATGTCTTTGATTTTCAGGTCTCGGTTTTAATGGCTTGTAAGACCTGTCTCTCTCTCTGTTTTGTCTTTTGTTTCTAGACGGGAAGTTTGGGGCCTACATGCAAGTCCACATTCAAAACGACGGACCTGTTACCATTGAAATTACTTCACCCTCTGGTCCCACAGACCCCAAACAGGTACGTTATCGAGTAGGACGTTTTGGACAAAGTAGTTTGACAGAAAAATCTTAACTCAAGGGCCACTTTTTGGCTCTCTACTGGAGCTTTCATCTCTTCCATACAGGGTGGATGATGTTTTCTCAGTTGTCATGGAGATGCAATGAAAAGCTCAGAAAAAAAGCTAGTAAAGGGACCTTAAATGAACTGTTGTTTTGTTAATCAGTTAATCAGAGCAGTTATGTAAAATGAACTGGTTGTCACTCTGCCACTGTACTGCTGGACTTTAGCTGCATCCCTCTACACAACTTGAATTCATGCATGAAGTGTCATTCAACTGTTCATGGACTCATTTTATTTCTCATTTTAAACCACTAGGTGGTGATATTTACTCTTCAGTCGTGTGCAGTGGCTCGTGTTTCTCATGTTACATGTAGAGCACAGGGTTGTTTTTTGAAAAAATGATTTTAATGAGGCCTTTTTGAAATTGTGGTTTATTTTCTGCTACCACTGACCTTGTGTGTTTAATTATGTAGGTGTAAATGTCACATCGGATTTGAGTCCAAAACTAATATTGATATTTCATAGTTTACTTTTTTTTTTAAACTACATAAACACTATTTACTGTTGGAAAAACAAACCTAATGTGTAACATAAAATATAACAGTACATTGTATACTATAACCTTCAGTGGAAATGAAATAAGTGTCCATAACAACTATAAACAACAACACAAATAAATAGAAAATGTATTTAAGTATTTAAAGTGAGACTCAAAAATATAATAATACATGCAATTATCATAACTATGAGACACATTAAATGATGTAGTATGTGATGTGTGCAAGCATGTATTATGACCATTAAAGCTGCACTAATCAGTATTACAATGAATCAAAAGACTGTATAATATGAAAAGTATCGCTCATAGCATGGAAGACACAGAAAATTATCAAAAACTCTACAGTTTACTTCTGTTAATACAATGCAAAATAGACAAAAAAGAACTTAAAAAACCCAGACAGTAACCAGCATGTCCTTGCCAAGATTGATGTTTGCCATTGCCACCTCTTCCATAGCCCTGTGGAAATGGACTGATTCATTCAGTGTTCTCACTCAGTCACCCCCACGGTGAAGCTGAAAGCACACCCGATTTGGCTTTGTCGGGTTTACATCTGTGTGTGTGTGTGCACGTGTGGGTGACAGGGCGTTATGTGTAGGCTTCAGATGATTGGCAGCACAAGCCCACATGCACAGGCTTTGGGAAACTCGCTGTTGCCACCTCACCCTCTGCAGTACCTGTTCCTGTGGGAGCCGACGAGGCCTGCTCCCAGCATGCTCATCCTGTTCTCTGTTGACTTCAGCATACTGTATGCCTCAGTGTCAAACAAAGTGTTAAAAAGGTTAATATTGTATCATTTGCAGTGCATACTGTGCGGCAGGTCTGGCTGTTAATTGGATTTGCTGTTCTTCTGGAAACGAGGACATGTGTAACTCTGTAATAAATAGTCGATTAATAGATAAGTTAATTGATGTCCTCTTAGGTTTCTGAGAACTTATGAATGGCATGGTGGAGTATCAAACCTCAATATGGTTTTAGTACTGACCAGATATGTCCAGAGTAAAATGATTTGAATAATTTTAGCAAACTAAACTAAACTAGTCTTAAAAGTGCCAGTGACTATTTTATTGAGGCAGTTGAGTTCTTGTATGGCTGGTTGTGTTTTGATAACATTTAAAGGTCCAGTGTGTATGATTCAGGAGGATCTATTGACAGAAACTGAATATAATATTTATAGCTATGTTTTCATTACTGTTATACCTGACTATAATATTATTAGGAAATCTTTGGATTTACCTTAAAATGAGCCATTTTTATCTACAGAGGGAGTGGGTCCTCTTTTATACGCCATGTTGAACCACCATGTTTCTACAGTAGCCCAGAGCAGACAAACCAAACACTGGCTCTAGACAGGGCCTTTTGCGTTTTCTGTGAGTTTTGCGGCCACTGTAGTTTGTGCAGCCCATAGTTTCTCCTCCACGCTTGGTTGAGTCAAGTGATTTCAGTCGGTTGCAATCTGCAATCTGACTTTTAAATACCACTAAATCCTGCACACTGGTCCTTTTTAACATTTTTTAAGTTTTGCTTCTTTTGCTAAAGGTTTTGTATAAAAAGGTTTACAATTCTCAAAATAAAGATATGGAAGGCGTAATCTAAAGTCCTGCTAGCTGCTGTGTGAGGCTGTACATGGGCATACAACAATGCTTTGAGCTAAATGCTAACATGCTCAGTGTGAACATGCTGATGTTTAGCAGGTAATTGTCATCATGTTTACCATCTAAGTTTAGCATGTTATCATACAGTACAGCTAAAGCTGATGGGTATGTCATTAGTTTTCAGATATTTGGTCATAAACCAAAGTAATGGCTAAATTGGAGTTTTGACCTGATGGCGGCACTGGATGAATTATTTAGGCATTTCCAAAAACATTAGATATGTCCTCTAGGGATCTTAATTGCCTGTGGCAAATTGCCCGGCAATCCATCCAATAGCTGCCAGGACCACCAAAGTCAGTAGGCTTCATCCTCTGTCAGATCTCATGGTAATCGTTAGTAGTTGTAGAGACGTTTCAGTCTCGAGTGAGGTGGTGGATGGACTGCATCCCTAAAGCCATGCAGGGTTAAAGGAAGTGTTGGTATCGGGCATTAGTACCATAACCTTAGGGTCATATTGGCAATGATGTGACCACACCTGGCCGTAATAGGGTGTGTTTGTATTTACCTTTTTGTAAATGAAATATATTTCTGCAAGTATCTGAATATCTCTATTTACATAAACCATCATTTCTAGACAGCTGCAGTATTTACAAAAAAGCTACATTTCCCTAGCATTGATAAAAGTACAAACTAGAAGCCAAGTAATGAGGATATTAAACCATTTAAATGTAAGAACACTTCTAAGCCTCTCAGTAACAGGGATACACCTCTGTCAGCCTCTAATTCCACCCGTACGAAAAAAGTTCATATATCCATCTTCCTGAAACAATTCTGGTCACTTCCGTGGAACTCGGCTAACATCCTTATGCTTTGGCTGCTCTCCCCTTGGTGGGCTTGGTTGCTCGCCCAAAGGGAGGGATATTAAGCAGTCCTCAGAATTTTAATCTTGTCTGTTTGGGATGTTTTGCTGTGGGGCCCGAGGAGCCAAAGCCAAGGCCGAACATGAGGGATATAAGGCCAGCCAATAGGCTAAGCTTGGCACAGGGGGGGAAAATGAAGCAACGGCCAATAGACACTGTCCCTTTCTTTCCATGAATCAGGGATTTAGTCCACTGCAGGGTCAAGCGGCCAGCAAACAATGGTGTTATCCAGAGCAATGAAAATCATCCTGTTTGGATGTTCTCTTTGGGAACGGACGGGATCAATGGCAGAGGGGTCTTGAGTTTTTCTGTTTGTTCACCTGACTGCATTTTGTTTTGGGGTGTGGGCTGAACATCAACATACACAGAAATTATGTTTGGTCATGTTAGGTCAGGTTTTTATGGGGCTGGGGGTCAGAGTTTTGGGTTTGAAAGTAGCTTTAATATGGCAAAAAGAAGCCTGTATGTTTGTTCACAGTGTCCACTTTGTATTACGATGTTTAAAGTATGCATCTCCCTAGGTTTTTATGTACCAGATGTTATATCATCAACAAAGACAGTAAGCCTGGTTTGATACTACAGCATGTTAATGGGTTCAAATGGGAATAACACTGAATTTCTTTTGTGTTCTTTGAATAATGTAATGTCTTATGCAATGCTTTGGATTTTTAAGATGACATTTAGGTCATAAATATTTACCCCGCAGCCATAAAAGTTTTAGCATCTGTGTTTACAGGCCTTTTAGATGACTGGTAGCATAACTACTTCATCATGACTGTTGTGGTGTTTTATGGACCGTGAGGAATACAATGAGAAAATAAGTAGGAGCGGGTTTGATTGGAGTTGTGACTAGTTGTGCTGAGTGGCACTGGGAAGGGCTATTTTGGAGTGTGTGAGAGGCAGTGCATGCAGTCACAACAATAGACTCATTGAAGTGATCATATGACAACTCAGAATAGCTCTAAATGAGGAGAGAATAGAAGTGGTCGTGTATTCACAAAGACGAGTCAGATGTGGAGTGTTGGTCGGGCGCTGATGTGTTTCTCCTTTGTTTAATTAATTATACTAATTCGCATGCATGCTGGGACCTTTGGGTGAATACTGAACGTACTGCAAAGGTCATGATCTGCAAGTCATGATGCAGCACGTTCATGGTGTGTGCCTCTGCCCACTGAGCCACCAGGAGACCCAGACTGATAAGGTTTCAGTTACAGTTCAGCCAAAGAAGCATTTCTATTCTATTTTACAACTTTACTTGTCTCAGCTTTACTAGCAGAGATTTTTACAACAAAATTGTGAATGTCACACAGTTATTTGATACATAAACATCTAGGGTGTAGTGGCATATAGCAGATTGCAACCAACTGAATACCCCTCACCTCACTCTACTGTTCTAAACGTGTTGGAGAAACTATGGTGGCCTTGAAAATTGCAAAAAATGCAAAATGCCCTATCTAGA